CCCGGACCCGATCCTGAAATTGGCCCTGATCCTTGCCTCCGTTAACCAACATTATCATTGTTTCTCGACGCGGAAACTGGCAAAGACGAACGCCATTTGGGCGTTCGAGAGGAGGTATGAAGGATCGACCTCATCGTCCTTACCGAGATCATCACGGACAGGCGATGCCCTTGGAAGAAGTTCAGGGATTGCTGCTTCCACCCTCCAGAACAGGTAATACATTTCTTTATTTTTTGTGCAGAGCAGTGTTGTTCAGCAGTTGGCTGCACTGATAAAGTGACCAATAGCCGAGCGGCAAAGCTCGGGCAACATCGGGTAACATCGAGCAAGTTCGGGCAAGTTCGGATAACGAACAATGTCTAATAGAAACTGAAGTCTTTCGAATTTTCACTTCGTTAACTTTGTGTTTGTGACTCTGATTTTAAATTGAAGATTTAACTTCATTAGTTTCATTGTTCAATTGATCAACACTGCTCTGAAGATTTCAAATTCTGCTAGTTTTACTATTTATAGCTTGATCGTTTGATCAGCACTCAAATCTCCACTTCGCTAATTTTACTACTCGTAGCTTTATGGTAATTTCATTATTCATAACTTTACTATCAGTTATTCGTTGGACAATCACAGACCTTCAATTTAAACTTCAAATTTCAAGTTATATTTGATTATATTTGATTATTACTAAGGAAATTTTCTATAAATTAATTTGATAAGTTTATTGAGATAATGAAATAAAGATATTAATAAATAAATCGAAAATTTTTCAGAAATTTTTTTCAAAATCTGGAATGTTAAGAAAAAATTTGAGTTGAATAAAAATAGAGCCAAGAATAGTAAAGAGTTAATTAAAAATTTGTTGATGAGGAAAAGTACGCATATTGAAGTATGCTTGGAAAGTATAATATGTCTATTTACTTGTTAGTATAATTGTTATGTCAGCCTAGCAATTAAAAAACCTACTTTTACATTTGTGAATTCTGGTTTTCACGGTGCACTCAAGTTTTTATTCATTTTAATTTCATTTTTATTACTTACAAAAACATTGCTTGAGGCCAGTATGTTTTAAAAACGCCAGAGGTAATGAAATAATTAACCTGTATAAAAACAAAAATATCTGAATAAGACAATTTACAATTGGTATTAATATAAGAAATCCTTCTTAAATAATATTTAAGTGTAATATAAGTGTAGTATAAGTATAATATATTATCATGAAACAGTTAAATATAGATTTCCAATTGATTTCTGTCATCAAACAATATCAAACAATATCCATCTTATCAATTCACGTGAAATCAATCTTAATACAATTCGAATTGACATTATCATCAAATAACATCAAATTCTCTTTAATTTAAGTGAAATCAATCTCGATATAATTCCAATTGATATCTATCATCAAACAACATCAAACATTATCGATGAGAAACAAATAATATTGTTAGTTACATTCATATCTAACGTGCGAATTTCTTCCCCATCCTCTTAGTTCATCATTCATTCTATTTTATTTTCCTTTGAAATAATTGATTATCGTGTTGGAAATTGCGCAATAAGACAACGTTAGATCCTTGTCGTGTCCGTTTGTATAATTCAACGTGAAATAACGCTACGTATTACTACTAACTTCCAAATATTTCAAATATATTGTATACATAACGGTTGATAGTAAAATTTTACGACTCGAACAGATTTCATAACCGACGACTAAATCTGGCTAGTTGCACTCTGTGTAAGATTATCCGTATTTTCGTTAAAATTTGATAGAGCAATTAGGGTATTTCTATTAATTATCCGTTATTACATTGATTAGTGATCAAAAATTAATAGAATTAAATAATAGATTTGTTTTCCTTTTTAAATAATTTATTCTGGTAATTGTAGATTTTTATAATACTAATAATCTAGAATATTTAGTCGTTTTATAATCATGATATATATCATTTAAGAGAATTTATTGGTAATTTTTTGAAATTGCTTTAATAATATAGAATTACGATCCTCAGTTTTATGTTGTATCTATAAAGTCTGGTTTTATAATTCATTGTGTTCTAAATTTCTACTTAAAATATGATGAGCTATTAAGAGTTATCACCCTAATTTTTCTTCTTTCTAATCTTTATACCATACCCCATTACCACGTTCTTCTTCTTTCTTCTTATCATTATTTAAGTGTGCAAATATGTATTTATGAGAACATAAATTATGTAAAAGAAGATATTGCACATATTAATTTGCTATTTATAAATTATTGTTCCATCTTTAAATTGATAGAAATTTATATTTTTATTTATTTATTATTACAAATTCACTCATACAAATTTTGTCTTATGTTTGGAAGTTGTTTAAGAAATCATAATAATTAATCATTGCGAATATTATATCCTTGTTGAATAATAAATAATTATTAAAATAATAACTAACAAGCATCCAAGTTTCAGATCATTATGGTTATTTAATTAAATATCAAACATTTCTTTGAAATATCAAAGAAATGTTTTCTACAAGAAATTCCATAATTTCTTTTTTCTGTTCGATATCATTATCACGCATGAATAATTTTGATAATTTATCAAATTAGAAAGAAGGGGAGGTTGAAGGGTTAAGTGGGTTTTACGTTGGCACGAGTTATTCGAGGCTTGGTAAAACGAAGGTTAATTACCACTTAGCTACGTTCCCGAGAAACCTATTCCCTCGTTCATAATCTTATTTCTCTCAATAATTATAATCTCACATTGTCAAGGTGGTCGATTGATTTGAGATTGATAAATCGATCAATTAAAAAAATTTTAAGTTTTTAATTCATTAAGATTCCAATTTTTTTAAAATAGTATTGAAGACACTTTCAAAAATTTATTTGATATTTTTTTGAATCACTTATTATACATTATAACAAAAATTCAACTAGATTTTAAAATTCTTTAAAATAAAGTAAATTTTTAATTTTTTGTTAAGTATCTAAGTATTAAAATAATATCATTTTGAGAAAATCAACATTGATATGGCAACATTGAGTATCAGTGAACCTGGATGAATTTCAAAAAGACTCAGTATTCAGAGAAAAAATAGGACTTTGAGAAAAAGGACGAAAGAAAAAGCATATAAAGGTAAAGAAAATATCGAGAAAGAAGAGTCTGAGAGAAAATCGGTTCTCATCTGCTTGAGTCTGGACGTCACATGTATAATGTAAAGTACCTCGAAGGCTGCACTTTGAAAGTAGAGAGACAAAGGACTGAAAATATCTAGAGAAATCTGAGTAGAGAGGTTTGAGAAAGGAAACAGAGAAAATTTTTTTTCAAGTTTTTTCTAGTTTTTATTATTAACTGGCAATTAGTAACTAGCTTTGTTAGAATTGAATTATTAAATATTAACAACTTAACTCAAACAAATATTTTTATAAATTTATAATATTTTAAATTATGTTTATGAATTATTATATTTTTATAACATATAAGTGAATTTTTTTTATTACATACGATTATAATATAAAGAATATTAAAAAAAGTATCACAAAAATTATAAATAAAATACATATAAAAAAATTGACATATGTTTTTATATTAATCAAAGGATATTGTAAAACTTTTTTTCTTTATATTTTATTTTAATATTTATTCTTTACGAGAAAAAATGTTGGTTACTAATAGTATAAACATCTTATATATGTATTACGTTCATTAATAACTTTTTAATCTAGGCTATGGTAATTAATTGTCGCTGTCACAATTATTAATCAAAAAAATGGTCTTTAATTATTTTATAATTTCCCGCGAAAATAGTCGCCTTTAAATTTAATGCGATATATCGAATAGGGAATTAAGACCAATTGCTATTAACTTCGAGTCGTAAACGATACTTTTACCGAGGAATTAAGCGGGAGCGACAGTAACGCCATCTGCGAGCCTCCGACTCATTTCAAATATCCAGTTACGTATTTCTTAGTGTACGGCCTCATTGCGGTTCTCTGTTTTACGACAGGTAACCGGGGACCTCTGACGATTGTACAGGTCGGGAAAGGAAATGGGGGCGGTGGAGATGGCGGAAGTGATTTACTGAGATTGGAACCACCCTCGGATTTAAGACCAACTCCGTCGCCCTTGTCCGAAACGAGCGCAACATTGCAGTCCGACAACAATGATACCTTTAGCGGAGGTGAGGCTATTCTTTATTGTGTTTCTTTTCTTTTTCTTATTTTAATCTAGATATTATTTAGATCGTTCCATAAATTCTTATCGCGATTATAATACGATTACGTTTATATTATTTATTCATTATAACTTCGGAATTGACAACCTAACCTAATTTAATTTCATTTTTGTATGTATGTATGTAGATAGTATAGATGTAAATAGTGAAAACTAAGAGAAATTGAAAACAAGCATTTAAACAAACAGACATGTATAAGTTACGTATAATGTTTCGGTGTTTATTGATGTTTTTATTATTTCGTGTTTATGTTGAATTCGAGGAATAATGGAATGACTATTGAGGATATTCTGTGAAGAGAGTGATCATATAATGAATAAATATTATAGATACTGTAGAATATATTTTGTCATTTTTGTCTTTTGCTTGTAATATATATTAATTGCTAAATAAAAAATTAGAAAAGGTAATAGTAGTGAGATTGCTAAGATTATAAAGTTTTTAAGAAGGGACAAAGTGATTTTTTATTTATTTTTAATACAAGAGATAAATATGATTTCTGTAAAAAAATTATAAGATAAAAGAGTTTTTTCATTTAAATCAATATTGATTAATATTATACATATTATAATATATTCAAATTATCAATGTAATAATCATTATGATCTTATATAAATTTAATATATATATATATATATATATATATACACATATACACACACACACATGAATTGGTAAAATTGGATTAAAAAGACGAAGTATTGGGAAATAATACATTTTGATGAAATTTTTTTTTGATTAATTGAAAATATTAATTTCTTAAAATTTTTTTTTATAATGTTTTATTTTTTTGATAATTTATGTGTTTTTTTCATTGTCATGGATTTCTCAAATTATGATTGCATTTTGTATTTTTTATCAGATTCGTAGATATCTTTAATTATATTGTGCAGATATTAATCAAATTTTTACTTCTAAGTAAAAACATTTACATATAAATACTTACATATAAAAATTTAAAAAAAAACAGAAAAATTTATTTCTCAACTTGTCAAAATATTTGTATGTATCTATTTTTAATGATCCTTTCATAATTTGAGAAATAAAACTTTATTATTTCATATCCAGCAATTTAATAAATTCAATAAATTCACTATTATTTATTCTTAATATTTTATTGTTCCATATATCTGTTCTATATATCCATATTTTTGGTTAAAATCATTTTCTTTACATCCTCTTATTGATCTAGTTAACAACCATAAAAGTTTAATCACATTACAACTGATTAACTATTATTTTTTGATTCTCATTTATCCCAGAAAGTCAGTTTTAGTTTTCTTTGGTCAAGAACAAGTTAGTTATCAACAAGATATAAGACAAAACATTTCTGAATCTTCTCAAATTTTGAAATTAGATAATGTTATGTCATACTTATTAGGAAATTTCAAAAGACAGTGTAATCATTATCTCTGTAACATATTAGTTATAATTTAAAGTCAATGTAATATTAAAACTTATATATTCAATTTATAATTGATAAATATCTCAAAATTATTTGTATGTGATTCGCCATAACTTTCAAACTTTCAATTATTATATTTATATTATTTTATATTGTATGTATATTGTATAAACTCCGAATATTATAATATCCAATAATTTTATTAAAAATTATTTTCCATTCGAATAGAATCAAGAATGAAAAATTGTGATTTCACTCATGTATAAAAATTAATTATTAACATAGAATTGAATAGAATACCTTCAGTTTAAAAAAGTAGGATATCCTGTCAGTAAAAGAAGATTTGGTCCTGGTTATTGCTAAGCGATGGTGTGAGCAAAAAATTCAGTAAAATGGGCACATCAAAGGTGGACGAGAAGTTGTATCGTATGCATCTTTGAGTACAAAGAATATGAGTTTCATAAATAATGTATTGTACACGCGGTATGAAACGTTAAAAAGGAATATATTTCGAGTTAATATGAAAATAATGATGCTGAAATGCAATATGTAAAAATTGTGTGAAATTAAAAATTTAATAATTCTTTAAGTGGATGTTTAAATTTACATATAGTAATTTTTAGTATTTTATAACATCTTAATATTTTTAATGTTATAATCATCATTATTTATATATTGCATCTTTACTTTTTGTAAAATTATATTTAAAATATGTTTAAAATTTAAAATTTAAATTTGCAAAGCAATTTATAATTTAATAAATTGTTTTACACAAATTTTTTTTTAAAAAATTTTACAATTTTGATATTACAAAAATGATTAGTCATCGTCAGTTGTTTTCAACGCATTTCCGATATTTCGTATCGCTGTTTAAAAATTCATTCGAATATAAGTCTTTAAATAAAGTAAAAATAATCGTAGATTAATTAAATCTTTGATTTAATCGTATTGTAGTTTGCAAATTATTTCTATATATAATTTAGTCGCCATATGCAGATAACATAAACTATTTGAAGATTTCATTACCAATTTTCTATATTTTTCAGTGAATTTTTTTTAATTTGACGATTGTTCAAGAAACACCTATGCGTTACATTTAATTTAATCTTAGAATAATCGAGTATTATATATATTGAATTCTAAAAAAAATTATTTTCCATTTTTATCAATCACATTTGCATTGCAAAAATCTTACTCTATGAATTATCAAATTATTTTCATTTTTTTGTATTAAACCGTAAAAATAAAATAATTTATCCGAATTAAATAATAATTATTTCAATTACATCGTTTAAAATAATATATCAAACGGAAGATAGAATAAAAATCTCGAATAATTCAATACCAAGAATTATTTTTCGATAATTCTTGTATCTATTATATGTCCATCATATCACAATCCATTTATATATTTCATCGAAATATTAAATTCAATCGAATTGGTTACCATATCACGGGAAAGAAATAGCTCGATTCGAAATCGTTCGATTCGTTAGTCGAATACCATTAATTACAGGCATGATCGCGGAATATATCGGATTTTCTGGTGGGTAACACGCTTTAATTCCCCGTCAGATTGTTCCTACCGGCTTGAAGTCCATATGTAGCTTATATTTAGTCGGGAAATAATTGGATTATTTGGAACACGTGGTTCGTTTAGCTTTCTGTGGTTTTTTCACCGACAACCTCGACAGTTTTCCGCGGAAGAGCCACTAATAGAAACGTCCGGATTAACTCTCGTTCGTCCCTTTTGTATTATATTATATATTATATGACATTTTATATTGTACTGGATAAATATTAATCCAATATTTTTGCAGGCGATAAAAAATTTAATTATTTTTAGATAAAATTTTGTAACCTTGAAATTATTCCATACAATCTTATGACAAAATATGATATAATCTTTTGAAAAAAATTTGAAATAATTTTTAATAAAACAATGTAATTACTGCAATTGAATTTATGAAATTCTTATATAACGAGATAATTTATTCTAATGTGTTATTGTAAAAATTTTTATTCAATCAAATTATAAAATTTTAATTATTAATAATTTTATCGATATCACAGGATTTCGTGAAAGTTATCGTCTTACGTTTTTAGAAAAAAAATTAAATTCTAGTAATTTTGAAAGATTAATAACTTTTTTTTTTCTATTCTAAAGATTCGTACATGGTGAAAAGATTCGTAAATTCCATTGTATTTTGTTTGACACATTGAACGCATGAATGGATAAAGAAATAAAAAAAAATATCAAGTGGCGTGAATATTAATACCAAACGCGATCCTCAATGTCTGTCGCAATTTGAATCGCGATTATGCAGTGCGATTTGATGAATAGAGGGATTTTTATGATTGACTGTGAGAACGATGGAAATAATAACGACACGTCGAAAAAGAAGAAATATTGCAGAAATTCGAGTATCCGGAATAGAAATGTACCTAAGATAAGTATTTCAATTTTTTAACATCGATAATTACACAGATAATTATTCTTAATTATTCTAATTATTAAAAATACAACGATAATGAATTAATAAAAGGAACAATGAATCAACAAGAAGGAAATCATTTACTAATGATGCTATAATTTTTTCCACGCCACTGCATCGATTATTGTGTAATCGAAAATGTAGTAATAAAAAAAAAAAAAAAATAAAAATAGAATAAGATTATCGATAATCGATATTCATTTTCAGTGAAAAAATCGAATAACGAAAACTGGACAATGTGAAAAGGCCTTAAGGCGTTATGGAAAACGACCATTATACCAAGTTTTCAATTATACATGTAATCGAATGATATGGTTAAAAAAGGAACGAAAGATAGAATAATAATGTGACATGGAAGACGAGGATTATATCGATCGACAATTAATATTCATTTTCAATTAGACGATTAAAGAATCGAATAATGAAAAGTGCATTATACTGATTTTATAATTATATATACAATTATATATATATTTGAATGTCTAGTGATATTAAAAGTCACTAGCATAGTTATATCGATCGATATTTATTTTTAATAATCGAAAAAGATTCTTACATTTACACTTCACTCACAAAATTGAAGTGAATACATTATACGTTCTGTGTATTATAAATTATAATATGATTTAATATAATTTATTTTAATTATCATATTATATCATACATAAGCAAAGATAGAAAATAACCATTAGCGACGAGTTATCGAAGATATTCGATAATAATGGACTCGTTTCCATTTCGTGTACGGGCTTCGCGGATTTCGCGTGGTTTTGCACCAGCTTTGTGAAACATCTGTGGCTTCGACAAATGGTAAACAGTTTATGTCATTATATAATAATACCATCTCTATGCACTGGATATGATTAACGTGGCTGATTTGTAATGCAACGACGACGCGCTCCTCCTGCTACGACGTGCATGCGATTCCTCGAATATATCGATAATTTGACATATCGATGTCTGTTACGTTAAACGATGTGGATCATAATGATAACAATCGAACTGTGGATTTTTAAACAAAAATCAAAAATTTTTATATATTTCAATATTCAACGTATTTAAATATTATATTTAAATTTATGAATAGGATTGAAAAAATGAAAAGAGATTTGTTTTATTCTTCGAATGTATTATTTCCTACTTTTAATATTTTGTTTTTTTGCACGTCATATGCACGTCATAAGTAATTTTTTTTTAATGTTACATGATTAAATTTTGCATAATAGCAAATATATGTATAATATGATAATAATGAATAAGTTTGATATGACTTAAATTTCGTTTAAATTTATATGTAATTGTGTAAAGATTAAATTGTGATAAAGGAATCTATATTTTAAATAATGAAAGTACAATGTTCTTTTTTTCTAATAAATATTAGTAAAATTGTATGTATAAATAGTACTCGAATATAAAATTGGATAAAATTTTAAAGGTCAAATTGTGACAGTAAATTATTTGAAATTACACAATTACCAGTATGTAAACTTTTATTTTTGTGTTTGTAAAACTCATAGTATTAAACTTTTTCATATACACAAAGTTTCTTAAAAAAGTTGGACAAACTGTTATAAAAGTTGGTACATTTGATGGATCGAAACTTTTGAAATTGAAGAGAAAACAATTGTGGAGCGAATTTAAGATATTTAGTAAATTATTTAATATAGTAAATACCCATAGATGAAAAACATGTATTTAGATATTTCAAATAATTTGGAAAAGAAGAGTTACAAAATTTTTATTAAACAAACTAATATGGATTTATATTTTCTGATATAATAATTATACTTTTTTATACCATTATTTTTCTTATTATTTAAGATTAAAGTTATTTTCATCTATAATCTTATATTACTCATATTGCATATCTTGTGCAATCTTTCCAAGTAAATGCAACTAAACCTCAATATTCTAAATTTTATAAATAATTAACTTTTTAACACACACACATTTTCTTTTCCATATTTCAATCTCATATCTCCATCATATCATTTTTCATACAATTATATCTATCCTCTACTCTATAAGCAATTTACAAACCAGAGAATCTCGTTGAAAAAATCATTTTCCAATTCTTATCTTTTACTAACGACTATCTTCGATTCGACGAGAAAAAAGTCTTGAAATCTCTTCCAATCCCTCCTTATTACTTATACAAAATACTAATCCATATCTTACGAATGTTCAGGTGTCGATCCACGATTATTGTTGGGCGCAAACACCGGGGGCGACCGTAACACGTGGGAGGGTCGTTACCGCGTGAAGGAGCATCGGCGTGCTGGAAAAGCGACCTTTCAAGGTCAGGTTTACAACTTCCTGGAACGTCCCACCGGCTGGAAGTGCTTCCTATACCACTTCTCTGTGTGAGTATTTGAAGATATATGTATCAATTTTTCCATATCTTGTTTTTCTTCATCCATGTGTGTGATGTGATCGTTATTATTTTATTTTGTTTTTTTTTTCGTTATATAGATGATACTGAATATGCACTACCAGAATATGATGTACAATCAAGTTTTCAATTTAAAATTTTGGATCGCACGTTTGATTTATTTTTCTATGAGAAAGAAGGTTTGGCGATTTCAAACTTTTTATGTAAATAGATATGTGGATATTATCCACGTAGCAGGAAGGTAGGTATTTTGAGAATTATCGATAGCTCCTTTTTTTCTCTGATTTTCCTAAGAAACGAGAAGGAATTAAACATTTCTTATGGATGAGAAAATGATTCGTTCGTGTTTTAGTCGATGTCATAAGTTTCTAAAGTGGTATATGTATCTTAAAAAGTGAAATTCTAGTTCCAGAAATTAATGAGAGAGATAACTTCGTGATAATAAAGCGAGCAGAAAGTACGATAGTTAACCGAGCACTTATATGCTGTACCATATGTATGCAGTAGTATGCAAAAGCGTTGGTTTAACTGGCCTCGAGTATGTTAATTAATGTTTAGTGAATAAATATATATCACAACATATTGTAAAACTTAGAAATTTGATCCGATTTAATTCAAAATTCATTCTTATTTTGGAAAGAAAATGTGTAAAATTTGTCTATTTGCATGCTACTACAATACAAAAATTATTTTCATAGAAAGTGGATAAATTTTTCACTTAAATGTCAGTGATGATACATGGAAGAGCGGATTAACGACATATTGGCCCCGCTCCTTAGATTGTCTTCCGCATCAATCTTTATTGTCAGTTAATAAACGTCAGAGTATGTTATTTTTCGAAAAGATTGATCATGCGAATAAAACGTAGAATTTCACGTAGCATGAAAGAAAATTATTTATAATTTAATTCGTATAAATGGTTGGTATATAGATTCAATTGCGTGAATTTTCATTTCAAACAGAGAGAAATATTGGAGAGAAGAGATGGATAATTATTTAAATATTAATTCTTCTGGAAATTGAAAGAAAAATGAGATGTGACTTGTTGTTATGATTATCCAATTGTCTGGACATTTTATAGGAAATGAAATTTAGGATAGAAAATTAATAATTCAAAGAAAATAAGATTTCCAATATTTTTAATAATTTTACTTTAGAAAATTATGTAATGTCTTTTAACTTTTAGTGTACAGTATAGATTGTGATATTAAAATTTGTGATAGATTGTGTATTTCTGTATTTTTCAGTAAAGTAGATCAAGGTAATAATAATTGATAAAAATATAAAATGAAAAATAAATGAAAAAACATATGTCGGTTTCATACCATGTTATAAATGAAAAATACACGAAAATGTTTTAAAAATTTATCGTGATATCTAATTGAAAACAATTTTTGGCTTATAAAAAATTTTCAGAACAAAAATTCTCTTTTAAACTAAATATATTATTTTTATATAAAAAAAACTGAAAAATAAATTTTGCAAATGTTTACATTTAATTTTTTTTTTAATTTCGTTTTAATTATAATTTTTTTTCATGAATTTTATGGTATTATATATAATAATTTCAAAATAATTTAAATAATAATAGAATAATTTAATATCACATACGATACGTTCATTAAAAATATATCACATTTTGTTAAAACATGGATAAATTTTATTTAAATTATTACGATCGATCGTTGGATATTTATTTACAAAGATTTGTTAAAAAGTTAAAACTTTCTCGTGTAGATGGCGCATATATACCGACGTACATCCTTTCGTCTGATCAATATCATAGTCATATCACTTACCATACGTTCATGTAGAAATCTGCAGCAATGTGATAGTATTTTTTTTTTAATTTTTCTAATGGTATATTTGTAATAAAAATTACCATTACAGATCCATAAAATCGTAACATTTATTGACGCGAAATAATTATTTTTCCAATATAAAAATTTAATTTCAAAAAAAGAGATTTCTAAATATCCACGATAATCTAGAATTTTATATATCTTTTTTATATATCTTTCACTTTATGTCTGGAATATTATATTTTTTTTATTACCATAATTCGTTTTATAAGGTTTTAAAACGTTTTCGCATATAGATTCTCATTCATAAGTTATAAAATATTTAATAGTAAGAAATAGAGTACTTGATATATTTTTTATGCTAAAAAAATCAGAAGATAAAAAAAAAATAAACATTCTATTATATCTTATGCTATAAAAAAATTTTATAATAAATGTTACATTTTATATTAGAAAATGACTTATAGAGGATTGTGTATTAGTGACTTGCTGCTCTTTCAAGAAAACAGCTTTTTTTTACTTCAAGCTACCCTTCAAATAACATTTTTTCACGGATATTAATGATCGTCCATCTATCACATTTCTATAACAAATGAAGGTTTATTTTTTTCAAGTTTACTTCGCTTATCCGAAAAGAAGAAAAATTGATACTTCTTCTTGCTTTCGTTCCATTATAAATAAAGTTATGAACAGTGGAGGGTTTTTTTTCAGGAATATATTATGTTTGGTGGAAAATTTGCAAAAGTAAATGTCTTGGTTGACATTTTAAGAGTACAAGTTCTTCATATTTTTTTTATAAACAAAATAAACATAGGATAATTTATTAAATTTATTTCAATATATTTTTTCACTATTAATGGAATAAAGTAATTTTGACGAACACATATATTTAATTTAATATACATTTTTTTATTTCAGATATTTTTTTCAAGTTTTTTTACATTTTTAAATTTTTCTCTCATTTGATTGATGTCAAATGATAATGATTGTAAGATTGCATAGAAAAATATGCATCTTTTATACGGAATGAATTTTTATCAATATGCTGTATAAATCAAAGTCTTTTTCATATTTATATTTTCAAATACAAGAATGATTTTTACATTCCTTTCCAATATTCTACAACATTTTTTATTATCCTGTTACACAAAGACAATCAAGTCTTTAACTATTCAAGTTAGTGAATTTAAATAAAAAAAAATTATATTGGAATATTTGAATAAAGAAGAAAGAAATATTTTATATTATTGTTTGAAAATATTTTTTTCTAATTCTATATTTATAATAATCATTTTTATTTCAGTTGTAAATTAATCAATGACAATGAATGTTCCGATTTAATAATAAATGTAATTATTAATAACATCTAATTATTAATAAAATCTTAATTCGAGATTAATTTATTATTGATGTAACAAATTGGTTAATGCAGGCGAGATATTACATTATAATGGTAAATTGAAGGTGTATGAGCAAGAATTTTATGACAAATAATAATAATATTATTATTAATCTTTTATGTGACGGATACAAATGTTAATTGAAATGTAGTTGAATTATATAAATTTATAATAAAATAATTATTCTATACACATTAAAATTAGAAAAGTTTATATTACGTCTGATTATTATTTTAACATACTTCTGTAATAAATAATTAATACAAAACGAACTTTCTTTTAGAACGTAATTTTAACTTAAAAAATTTACCCGAAAAAATGTGCTGCCATCTATCAAACACAAAAATACCAATACATACAATCTAATAACATATTATTTCATATGTTCATTATTCATAAATTAATTCAATATTCTTTAACCTAGTAACACAGAGATATAAATATCTACAATTCAATCATAATATCATTTCATACATATTCATTACTCGCAAATTAATTTATATTTCTTCTTCAACACGTGATAGGATTGAAAAATGATGGTCAGAAATCTCAAGGCCAGTCTTGTCTAAATTTAATCAAAAATTTCCAGAAACACGAGAACTTTTTCACATCCAAACGTCGTCGATCGCCAATTATTCCTTCCGTGAAAAGAATCACAGGGGTGTGCAATTAAGTAATTTGCCTTGTCCATCGAGCGGGGAATAACCGGCATCGCTATCGTGTCAAGTTATTCAAATTATTCAAATTGGATCATGCAACGCCTATACCTTTTTGCATATATATCGTGTACGAAAAGGGGAGGCTTTGTTCGCGTGAGGAATGTTTCAGTCGATGATAACCGGAGGCTTTGACGGTAACATACTTGGGGGAAACTGGCTTAAAAAAAAAAAAAAAAAAAAAAAAAA